AATTAAGCTTATTTAATTAATTATTTTAATGAATTTATAATTGCACTGATAGTACATTATAATCAAGATCATCCAGTACAATGTTCAAAAAAATTAAAATATTTAATTACAGTCCCTCTTGTGTGTGTGCGCATGGTTGCTAAGCCAACACATACCTATTACAAATATAAACTCAGGAAAAAAAGTTATAGACACTTTGAGACATAAATTGACTCACACACTAACACAGCTCAGTCTTGAGCCTTGAATCCTTAGTCTTGCTTTGTGTATATTGTACTTAAAAGGGTATGTAATACACAAGAAAAACATATGCAGTGTATAAAGCAGGAGAAATTAAATAAACATCTAATAATATTTATAATCTCAAACTAGAAGGTTGGCTCCTGGATTGCAACAAGTTGTTATAAAAAATTCAAATTATTAAATTAAAATTTTTAGGTAAATCTCCTGTAAAGTAAATGGCTGATAGAAAAGGTTTCGTGTACAAAAGAAGATAATCAATTAAAAATAGGTAAAAGTTATTTTATAAAGACTTAATAGTAAATTATTTTAATGAATCTTTAGTTACATTTGGATATTTAGTATATTGAGTAATTATTACTATTGAAAGAACTGTGAAATCCGTTCGAGTGTCTATTCTTGTCTTACTAACTTGAGCATCAGGGCCGAATTATGACAAAAGTGGTATGAAAATCTAAATATGATATAATTCATGCTAAAAGAGCCATTGGTTGAATTATTAAATATAAAAAAGTTGATCTAATATTATTTTGAGAGTTAATTAGATGTTTTACTTTACTTCAAAACTCAAGATGGTTCCGAAGGGAATTTAAAAAAAGTTTTACCATGTGTTGTTGTCAATATTGATGCATTAGCTTAAATGATAACACTAATAACTCAATTAATTCAGGATTCAAGATCTAAGTGTTCAAAAAGGAATAGCAATAATATCTTAATATATAAATACCTAAAATTATTTCAGGATATATATAATCATCATTATTTATAGATATAGAGAGACCAATAGAGATAGAGAATTAGTTACTACAGAATGTGAAAATATTAAATAGTATGTTCTGCCCAGAAGAGAGAAAGGTTTCACCGACGATATTTACGCTTGATATTGAGGCGGAAAGATGTTGAAGAGGGAAGCATCATGATAAATTTGGAGGGATACCTAATATCCAAATTGAATGGGAAGAATTTATATAAGTTTTTAGAGATTGGTTCATGCCTCTTCCTGCAACGAGGCAAATGCAAGATAAGTTTTTGAGGTTGATTCAAGGCGATAGATTAGTAATACAAATATTATGTTGAATTCATTATCTTATTAGGGTATGTTCTTCAATTAGTTCATATTGAAGAATAAATCAATTTCATGATAATCGAGCATATATTGAGCAGTACCGAGCATGTACTGAGCAGTACCGAGCATGTACCGAGCGGTACCGAGCATGTACCGAGCGGTACCGAGCATGTACCGAGCGGTACCGAGCATGTACCGAGCGGTACCGAGCATGTACCGAGCGGTACCGAGCATGTACCGAGCGGTACCGAGCATGTACCGAGCGGTACCGAGCATGTACCGAGCGGTACCGAGCATGTACCGAGCGGTACCGAGCATGTACCGAGCGGTACCGAGCATGTACCGAGCGGTACCGAGCATGTACC